TATTGACAGCTGCTTGATATATATAAAATATATGGAAACGAGTGGCGCCTAACTTTTTTAAAGTTTTCATTTTAATTATCTCGAAATGAAGGAAGCTCTAAATCCTGTCAAATTCGGTTTTTTGGAACGATATTTGTGGGTGAACAGAATGTCCGATTAAAGAATGGAAAAAAAAATTCAACAGTTCGATCTCGATAGTTGTACCTAGCGTTTCCACTGTTTTTTTGTGACTCTCGCTTCTTGAGATCATCGCGACACAAAATGACGAGTTGATGTGTCCGCGTCGAGCGTCAAGTAAGTAAGAAAAAAAAAACTCGCGAAGGACTACATAAATGCTCTGCTTCGCACCGCATTAAAAACTCGCGCATGACCACATAAATGCGGTGCGAAGCACAGCATTAAAAGCGAAGCATAGAAAGAAAAGAAAGAATGCGATGCGGCTTATCTATAGCTCGAATATATCCGAAAAAAAGTATACAACATATATTCTAACACCGTCTGTATGTACAGAAAAATCTTTAAAATGTTTCACAGAACGCTTCTACCAATTCGATATCATCCATTGTACATGAAATGAATGTTTCTTTCTCGAGATATTGATTATTCATGAAAGCTCAATTTTTTGGAATAAATCTGTCACAAGCAACTACTAGTTTTTGAACACGCGATATTTCGAGAAAGAAACATTCGTTTCTAGTAAAACTTTCAGAATATTCTAAGGCTGATTAGATCTATCGGTGGGTACAATTCCATTTTCTTGTGAATACCTACGAATAGGTCAAAAATTCAGTAAAACAGTCATTATTTCTGATCAATTGACCATAGGCACGAATTCTTCCAGGATTTTCTTCTTCTCACTGAGTCCTATTCATAGCCAAAATATTGAGTCGAACGGCGTCCGACTGTTGAGAATGTTTTCTCGTAAGCCAATAGACAAGGTATTTAAAGGAGATACACCATTTGATGAGATGAGTACTGCAGATCAGGATTTATCCTCTGCAATGACCCTTTTGTTCATCATTAGTTTACTCACTACTTTTGTCAACACTTCGTCCTCTCAAAAGCGCATTGATGATATTCGTCATATCAAAATAGATATAATAGTACAGAGTCAGTGACAAGAAAATATCACGTTATAAACAATAAAATTGATCTTGTTTCTACTTTTTTTGTGTTTAACAGGTAAGAATTATGAACTCCTCGACGTTCCTGGTTTTGATTCTCCCATCAAAGAACATCGTGATGCTGGTCTACAAGCTATAAAAACAGCTGACGCTTTTCTTTTCCTTACCAATGGTCAACAACCAAGTCTGACTCAGCCACAAATTCGTCTTCTTCATGAAATTCAAGAAAATCACTTCGAAGCAATGCAACGTGCATTTGGTATTATCACAAAACTCGATCTTTGTCAAACTCCAGCAACTTATCAAGACCATTATGATAAAGCTTTTAATGAACTCATTGAGAAAAACTTTAAACCAGAACATATTTATGTTGCTTGTCCACGATTACAGATTCTCGACAAAAATACTGAAGAATTTCGTATTATCAATCGTAAAATACATAATTTTAGTGATGATTTAGCGCAAGGATTTGAACGAAGTCAACACGGTCTTGAAAAATTTATCGAATATGAACTGCCTAAAACACATTTGAAACAGCTAACTGATTTGGGAAGAATGCGATTGGTTCGACATGTGTTAGAAGCCCTTGATAAAATCAAAGAAAAACAACTTTTGCCGCAAAATTTGGATATCTCAATTGATGAATATATTAAACAGCAAAACATCGAAAACTGGGATCAAGTTTACTACAAACATATCTTTCAGCCTACTTTTGCTAAAGCGAACCATTGGCATACAACAACTATTACCAAAGAACGTACAAAATTTATCGATGATGTCAAACTTAAATTTCATAACTCTTTTGTCGATCTTACTAAAGATTTTCTTAAAGAAATACATCAAATTGAACAATTGATGCTTGAAACACATGGTTATACAGTACTTCAATTAAATGCACATCCAATTGACAATAAAAT